TATCATTAGCCCCTTAAGTTGACTACGGGCTTCACAGAGGGAAGATTCATCAAAGTAGCAGAAAGCTTCGTGCTTCACAGAGGGAAGGTTCATCAAAGTAGCAGAAAGTCGAGTGGGGAGCAGAAGAGCGATTCACTGATGTAAAAGAGGCAGACGAACAGAAGAGCGATTCACAGATGTAAAAGAGGCAGACAAACAGAAGCTCATCAAAGTAGCAGAAAGTCGAAGGGTGGGGAACAGAAGGAAGTAGCAGAAAGTCGAGGGGTGGGAAACAGAAGAGCGATTCGCAGATGCAAAAGAGACAGACAGACACAAAGGTAGAGGAAAAGGTAAGGTGAGTACTGTGAAATTGGTGGAATATGACATATAGTGGGGTGATGGTAGTCTGAAGTCAGAAATCAACTGCCAGTTAATAGACTTTTTTGTCAAATATAAAAAAGTTTAATAGATTTGATAGGGGACAGTGTGCTTTATAAATAAGTCCACGTTGAGTTCCTTAAATTTGCATTTGCCGATATAGTTATACTCCTCTATTCCTTTCCTCATTCTGAGTAGACTGTAGGGAATTGCCTTACGAATGGGTCTTGATTTATTCTCAGTAATCACTTCGGCAGATTCTCTTGTGCTTGGAAAGACTTCCGAAATCAGCTATGCTGCCTCAACGATATAGAGGAAACTCCACACTTGCAAACTTCCAGCCAATGATAAGTTAAAGTCTAACGAGAAGCTGACGCCGAAAGTCGAGACTATGGAAGCCTGAAAATCTACATTCGAAAATCAAGCAGCCGAACTGCCACCAGCTAATGTTTAGCATTTATTATGAACACCAATCATATGCACCCACACTTTGGCCCCCTTGATGTAAAACCCCTTGGACAACTCCCGCTCTCTTCATCCTAACTCTCTCCTTGGTGCATCTTCATTCCCTGATAATAAGCACCCATCTACTATCCTGCTCATTCGCCTCCGATATTGTTAACCCTACTGCCCCACCATCTTCTATATCTCGACCCAAAGTTGCTCGCACTCATTGTGGTCGAAGGGTTATCTTCGAATATGCACAGTAACCAATTATCGAGCATCACTTTTCTCTACCTTTTAGCATTCTCACCACGCTCTAGAGGGGGACATTGTGGTGCACTTAGCGCTATCTTGGCTGAATAAAGAAATCTCATGCGCACTTTGACAGAGTCAAAAGTGTGACCGTGCTGCTCGTCGCGAAGGAAGCACGTGTAGTTGTGAGCGCAGGGCCCTCTCAGACAATCACCGATCAATAGACGCTTCATTGTTTACAAACTCTTAATTCTATTTTAATGTCAAATGCAAACCAAACAACCATATTTCAGGTTACTCGTCCGTTTTCTCCACATATGAGGACATTTTGCTAATAGGGATTAGTGAGAATAAGTCAAGGTCTCTTCAAAATTGTCTACAAAGACGATTACTTGATAATATCACGAGATTAGGCAAACTTCAACAATTTGCTCAAAAGCATACAATGTAGCAACCCTACAATTTCGAACATTTTAACAAGTATGCAATATTTATGTTTATCCAACACCTCCTAGCTGTAGTTATTTATCCATAACGAGTAAACGTCGGAAATGCCTTGAATCTTCTTCCAGATCTTTTGATGAGTTGGAGTAATGATCTGGACGTTGAATGCCCTGGATTACCGGAGTTTCGGAGTGCCAAGGTGGGGAGAGGTCACTTGTGGTCAGACAAATCTCTGATTCATCTTCGGACTTATCGTGAAAATTGCCTACAGGGAACAAAGATTTTGTGATGACGAAACCAGATATGGATACCAACATGAGGCGTCGTCCAACACCCAGACGGTAAAAAATTAAACATCTCCTCCACCGTCTCCTCTTGTGGCACGAGGGGTTGTATTATGCACTGTCATCAAGTTTTTCGTCCAGAACATGGAATTCAGATGGAGAGTTAAAAATAGAAGATTTGGAGGTCAGAAGCAAAAAATATTTTAACTTGGTGATAATCCTGGACGTAATGACTTTTGGTTTGCTAGGAGTGGTGAATAATTGTCAGGGGCTACTATTAGTGCCACTACGTGTACCAGATTTAGGAGGTATGCCCTTTGACCACTTTGAATAGGAAACAACGAAAATAGGGTAGGAGGTTCAACAAAGCTGGCATCAATATATGAACAAAGAAATTTAGTTTGTGAGAATACGAGCCTCTGAAAAGCTAAATGCAGTCTCTCATGAGTTCTGTAGGAATTAATAGAGTAATGCCCTTCTTAATGACCTTTTAGTCGATCGAGTTGATTAGTCTGGTGATCAAACTGTCAGGGTTTCGGCATTGTTTATCACTCGGATAGGGTAAGCTCAGAGATACGCATATTGGAACCATTGTAGGTAAGACGATTGGAGAGGGTGTCTGAGATGGGTGATTTTTTTACACTCTCTGACTTAAGGGTATAATTTAATAATATCATCATTTGTCACCTGAACTGGAGTTGCAGTGGGCGCCCCCCAGGCGAGACTGGTACAACCGCGGGGGGGGGGGGGGGGGGGGGGGGGGGGGGNGGGGGCGGGCGGGGGGGGACTGAACCGAATTTTTTAAAGAACTTAGAGAATCAGTGATGTTAGTGGCACTAAAAACCGGAGAAATAATTTTGGCTACAACAATTCGCAGAGAAAGCTCTATTTCCTCGACAAACTCGCAAACACTTTGTTAAGTGGTGAAAAATCAACTGTTTGTTGCGAAATTGAGGGATTTTTAATTTTACATTTTTGTCCCACACAGTAAGATATTTAGTTTCCACACACATTTCAGTTTAGCTTAGTCAAGTGTGGGTGTAGTACATTGGCCAAAGTAAACACCCGCTAAGTCAGAGGTTATGTGATTAATTCCCGCCGACACACTTCCAACGATGCTATTTGCCAACTCATCTATATTATCTACATTGGCCTGTGCCAGTCTCCAAAATATTTATTTATTTATTTCAAATGGCAGGTATTTTGATAGTTGACTTCGGGCTTCACAGAAGGGAGGAACATTAAAGTGAGAAAAATTCGACAGGGGGAAAGAAGAGCGATTCACAGATGTAACAGACAGAGAGACAGACACAAAGGCAGAGAAAAGGCTAGATGAGTACTGTGAAAGGGGTCGAATATGACATACAGTGGGATTATGGAAGTTTGAAGTCAGAGGTCTACTGCCAGTTAATAGACTTTTTTGCCGTATGAGTATACGTTGCCCAGGGTGCACCACGTGGAGGTAAGTCTATCGCACACCCCGTCTCCAAAATATAAAAATTATACCACCACCAATCAAGGTGGCCCAACAAACCATTGAATTAACTCAATCGGTTAACAAGTCGAGACTATCGTGTAATTAATGCCACTAATGAGTCTAGAAAACTAATGCTAGAGATTGGACATTGGAAACTGAACTCTTCTCCTCATAGTCACCTTTGGGATTTTGATACAGAAATCAACCAAAGAAACGGCTTGGGGAAGATTTTCTTTCATCGGCTCTTGGACGTCTGCAAGTACTAAGCTCCATCCTCAGGTTCCGACAGTCCCCCGATGTTTCAATCGAGCAGTTGGCAATTAACTGTTGCACCAAAATCAAGACGACAAACAAATTTTAACGTTGATGCGTGAACGCCTCACCTTGCAACACGTCTCCAGTTAACTGTGGAAGAAGTATAGCGGAAACTCAAATGCTTATGGTCAGCAAGTTTAGAATAAATGACATTTCCACATTGATTTTAAAATGCATGATTTCTTATTGGTGCTCCTAGTATCTTTGTCGTAAAACAAATCCCAAAACACAGCCATCTCTGTTTTTTATTCTCTTATTTCAAAAAATTCAAAATACAATCTCTGATCAATTTTGGAGTATATAATTCACGTCAAGGAAGCATAACAAGTAGATGACCAACATTTAGAACAGGAAAGAAATCGGTTCCTTCTTTGAATTGTCAAATGTCATCTTAACTGAATTCCTCCTCATAACCAAAGCTCTTACACATCTAAGGTTTAAAGAATTCAAAAAGGAATTTCCGTATAGAAGCTCGTTTCAAGTAGAATTACCCCCTCCCCGAGGCGTTTCAAGTCGAATTTAGTGCACAAGCATCCGATATATCCATCAGGTGTGCATATGGATTAGTCTAGGTAGATAAAAACGAGATATTTTAGAATAAGATGTAAATTGCAGGCAATAAAAATCTAAAAATTCCATAGAACAAATTTCTCACATTCCACTAACTTACTATCCTCAATGCAATTTTCCGATTTTGTCAAAAATATCTACTAACTAATTAGCAAACTCAAGGTTGGAAAGCGTTTTCAACTATTAACTTGGAGGGTGAAGTAGGGTCATTGAAATATCAGGGACAATCCCTAATCCTTTATAAGCCAGACATAGCCAACGCAATTGGTCATTTCATCTCGTGAGTGTGCAACGGATTCACACGACCCAGGACCTCACAGGTGATCACGTTGAATACTAGCACACACTCGACAACTCTCAGTAAAACCTTTGTTCAAACCTCGAGTTGCCTATAATCTCTCAAGAGTTCACTTAACCACCAACCTGTACCTCAACTAATTTTTGCTAAATACCCCCCCCCCTTAATATAAAATTGACGCCCATAAAACGACGTTCATTATATGTATATACAAAGAACATTGTAGAGTGGGGGGGGGGGGTGAGGAGGGGAGCAAGGAATCACAATCTCAGGAAACCACACAGAAAACAAAAGAAGCAAACTCTCTAAACTTCAGTGAAGTTAAGAGAGGAAGAGAGGGGCAAAGTGGAGATATCAATTGGAAACATCCGTCAGTAAGTTTGTCATCAATCAGGAAGAACAAAGAGGGCGGGAAGGAGACAGAAGAAGATAAATGCATGCTCATATAGGTATATATATATATATTTATCTGTCCAGAAATTCAACTTTGTACACAAAGATAAGGCCAGGAGGCGGAGAAATAGCACAGTAGGTTTTACACAAAACTTCTCTTGAACATCTAAGGACTTTGAGGCGATTGGCTTGGGGGTGACGGATCAACAGAGAGCAGATTTTTGTGATACAACAGTACATAAGCATCTGTTTTCAACACACGTTCAACATTCACGGGGATAATCTTCTGGTCATCACACTGGCACCAAGTACCAGGCTCAGATCGAATGAACGCTGTGTAGTGACCTGAATTCGTATGTCCGCAGTGATTCAACACAGCGTACAGTGAGTACCGATCTTGCCAAGAAAATTTTCTTCCCGCCAATCGGGTTACATAAGGGGTGAGATCTAATTCAAGTGGAAAGCTGATTGAGGTGTTGAGCTTTGTGTCTTGATGACATCGCTAAAAGTAAAGAAAAGCTTCTGGTTAAAAGAATAGGACAGTGTAAGAAGTCATTGGACCCTTAAATCCACTGTGCTCAAAAGACCCTAAATCTAATGAAAGGTTAAGAGTGGTTAAACCGCCACATATCAAAATGACAACAGTAACTATAACTTATTAAGAGTTATAGTAATCCATCTTCTTGTATATTTTAAATATCATGAGAAAATGCATGGATACCACGACAGTTTAGGCAAGGGAATAGAGTAGAAAGAGGAAATAAGGGCTCTGGGTTTTTGAAATCTAATTAATCTGCGTAATTCAATTGGATAACAACCGACGTACTTTTAAATAGAATATTAAGATGTTGGGTAGATTTAGAAGAGAAAACTGTTTCACAGCAGGACGATTGACTTTGCACTTTGAACAGGGTAACATTCCATCAATCACCTCAGGTCTAAAGTAGGAGGACAAACAAGCGGCCAGGGATGTTGATCCTCGTTGAGCTACATCCAATGAGAGATCCAAAAAAGGATCGACCGTGGAAGATCTGTGATCACACCCCTGGTAAGAAATGACAGATTCCAGGTCTCCAAAAAATACCTGGTGGACTATACAATTACAGTTGGTATCTGACGGTGCAGGATGCGGAGCAGAAGCAGTTGTTCGATTGCTGTTAGTATTATTGCCAACAACAATCTCCGTACGATCTGAGGACGTTGAAATCGGAGAAGCTGGTATACTTCGTTCATCCATCTCACCAGTCGCACTAGATGTAACCGAGGAGGGAGAATACTTCCCCTTCTTTTCCTGTGTGGAAGCACTTGAGAGAGGTGAATCACATCTACTCCCATCATTCCTCAACATATCGCTATCCAACCAACGACGTTTATTCGATTCCACTCCATGCAATTGTAAAGTCTCATCAGCATCATCTTCAAGAGAAAAATAACAACTGTTTAAATCTTATCAGTAGAAAAATGGAAACATTGGAAAACACTTAAGCAGGCGAACTGACCTTCTATTGGCGTCTGTTCGCCCACAAGATGGGAATGAATGAGAGTCAAAAGAGCGATTAGAATTTCATGAGCGTCTCGCTGTTCATAACCCGCGAGATGAGTCGCATGCAACCAAATTATATACAGAAGGTTGCTGGGAACGAAAGGAGAAGTCTCAGGTCGATAAATCTGAAATGAGAAAAAAATGGGAGTTGTAAGAGCTCACAACTGACTGTAAATAGAAGTTTGTCAAACAAGAGTATCTCATCAATAAACCTCCTGGGTGATCCGAATCATTTCACATGCAAGACAGTTTCTTGAACGCGTTGGATTATCGCATCGATGCAAATCAGACAGAAGGAATTCCCGTAATACTGGAGTATGGGTTAAAGCCTGTACAACGACATTAAGAAAACAAGTATTTCCCATATTTATAAGACCCCGCGTTTCTATAACAAAGTGAAGTTGGGTAACAAATCGATAAATACTTAGAAAACCAGACACAAATGGGAGAACTAACGCTGAAATGTTTTAGAAATGGGTTTCACATAAGGAAGAATTTCAAAATCCTTGTAGGATGGTCTCCATGGCCGATCTGATTGTCCTAAAGTGCGCATAATAAAACAAACAATTAAAGTCTCGAGCGACTCTAAACTAATTAACCGTGCAACAACCCACCGAATTTCTTCCGATATTGAGAAAGCGCGTTGTTGTATGAATTTTCGACTAGTTCAGAGTAGACGAAATCGCAACATGAAGAACAGTACAATTCACCTTGATCAACCGAGATGGCTAAAAACAACCAAATTTATAAAGTCAGAGGTCTTAACCCTTTTAAAAAATAATCTTTTAAATACTAACAAATGTGATGATCTGGATACCGCCTGAAGTGATCTTCAATGTGATTATTTGTGAAACAGGATAAGTGGATGCAATGAACACACGCCAGCAGTAAATTCGGTCTGCTTGTATTAATAGAGATAGGAAAATCACGACAGTAAGCACACCGTTGTGAGGACTGTAAAATAAATAATACAACATAATTAATTCAAAGTGATTGCCTCCAAAATTCTAGTTTTGTTAAATAAGGTAAGCACATTTTATTAACCTTTTGCTATTAAAAGAGCTAAAACTCAATTCTCATAAATTATACTTCGAAATTTGAGGCAAACCTTGTATTTAATTGCTTCTTCTGTCACAGGGAACACTATACACTGATAAATTGCGTCCATTGCTTGCAAATTTCCAGGTGCGGAGAGAAAATTTTCTACATGCTTGCACGTCATAATTGAGGAAATTTAACACAAACAAAAGTCGCCTAGGCAATGTTGTTATTAATTTTTAGTTAGCATTACCCACTATTTTGTCCCAGTTAACACAAAAAGATGATAAAGAGGATCAACCACAGGAGAGTGCGCACTAGGTCTATCAGCTGATTGAAATGATTTAGCACGGATAAACAATTCATATATATGTTTAAAGAAAAGTATTAAAACTGAAAATAACATTTTTATTACAAGTTGAAACATTGTCACGTTGACGATTTTATAATTATTGTATGCTACCGTTGTATTTCTATTTTTTGTATGATGAAACACTTATATTTTGATATAACCCGGCAAAACTATAAAATCAAATTGTTGTTTACGAAAATTTGACTTATGCCCATGAATTTGTAATTGCATCCGGAATTTTATAATGTTGAGTGATAATATTTTAAAATATTAAGTTTATTAATTAGATATTGATAATATATTGCTTAGATAAAATTTTTGAGTAGATATTTAGGGTGGGTCTTGAAGAGATACGATTTTTCTGGCCCATTTTTACAGGATTACTGTGAGGAGAGAATTATGAATAGTCTGATCTTGTAGGAATTTGATAAGCTACAAAAGCTTTATAATATTTTTCCAAATGCCACATTATATGGCTATAAACGCATTCAGATATAGGAATATTTATGTAAATCTAATGATACCGCAAAATACCTAATATTTTTTTCTTAACACCTTCCCGGTTATTATCTTTCTTAGCCGACTCATCCTGTCAAATAGATATATGGGATTGTATTTTGTGCAATATAACTTTTATTTATCCTAAAAGGGGTGTCTTACAACATAGTTGCATATATTTCCATCACAGGATCGCACTGTAAAGTTACGCATTAAAATTTTCAATGTTTTAAAACCCTATTTATTTGATCGATTTGCCTTTTTTTCAGTGATCGCACCTACTCTCAAATCAGGACAATTTTAACCGATCCAAGCTCGCAATCTTTGTACCAAAATATTATCTGGATATAGGAAATATTTTGAGAGTTGTTAACTCATGTCATTTGAGGTAGTTCTTATCCTTAATTTTGGCATTCAAAGTGGTTGGAGGTTTCACACGACAAACCACTTACTCTCACTTGGCATGGTCCCTCGCTTATCTATAAGTTGCACACAAACAGAAATGAAAAATTTTGCTTTAGTTAAGACACAAACAACTGCATTGAAGACTGTGACTAGTTTAAGTTTCTGCTTATTTGTAATGGATACTTAGGTCATCCAACATTCTCTAACAATGAATTATTCAATGCTTGTTACTTGGACTTCAATAGGACAAAAAAAAATATATGGAATTATATAAGCTTGACATTTTGTTACTGTAGTATACATTCCCTTTTCCTAATGGATGATCATTTGATCACTATGAGCTGTATGATCTTCACCAGACGCCATACAGCCACCTTCAAAATCAATAATTCTATAATCAGGTGTCGGATCTTATGACTACCTCGGTATAAATTCCAACATCCCATTGGACATACTGTATGTTCTTCAAGGTCACCGACAGACTACTTAAAGGGGACCCTTTCGATTTTCGAACTAGTCCCACAAAGCATCCTAGCTCCGTTAGCACTCAGGAAGCTTATCTATCGACGGAATGCGTGAATGTATCAGTATACATATTGGTCAGGGTGGTTGCCAAATAGGTAACGCTTGTTGGGAACTTTACTGTCTCGAGCATGGAATTCAACCCGACGGTCAGATCCCAAGTGACAAGTGCATAGGATGTGGAGACGACTCCTTTGAGACATTCTTCAGTGAAACAGGCGCTGGTAAACATGTCCCCCGAGCTATCTTTGTTGATCTCGAACCAACTGTTATTGATGAAATTCGAACTGGTACCTATCGCCAACTCTTCCACCCTGATGAACTCATTACTGGAAAGGAAGATGCTGCCAATAATTATGCTCGTGGCCATTACACAGTTGGAAAGGAAATTGTGGATCTTGTGCTGGATAGAATTCGTAAGTTGGCTGATCAGTGCTCTGGTCTTCAAGGATTCTTTGTCTTCCACTCATTTGGTGGAGGTACTGGTTCAGGATTCACTTCTCTTTTGATGGAAAGACTTTCCGTGGATTATGGAAAAAAGACAAAGCTCGAGTTTACCATCTATCCAGCACCTCAAATCTCCACAGCTGTTGTTGAACCATACAATGCAATTCTCTGTACCCATACAACTATTGAACACTCCGATTGTGCCGCGATGTTTGACAACGAAGCTATTTATGATATTTGCAGGCGCAATTTGGATATTGACCGTCCAACCTACACCAACCTGAACAGAATTGTCAGTCAAATTGTGAGCTCTATGACAGCTTCCCTTCGATTTGACGGAGCATTGAATGTTGACCTGACTGAATTCCAGACTAACTTGGTTCCTTACCCCAGAATTCACTTCCCTCTGGTTACCTATGCTCCGACTGTTTCTGCTGAGAAAGCTTATCATGAGCAACTCAGTGTAATGGATATTACAAATGCCTGTTTCGAACCTGCTAACCAAATGGTGAAATGTGACCCCCGCCATGGAAAATACATGTCCTGTTGCCTCCTTTACCGTGGAGATGTTGGGCCAAAGGACGTTTCCGCTACCATTAGCACAATCAAAACAAAGAGAACCATCCAGTTTGTGGATTGGTGTCCTACTGGTTTCAAGGTTGGTATTAACTACCAACCACCAACTGTAGTTCCAGGTGGTGACTTGGCTAAAGTTCAAAGAGCTCTCTGCATGATCGCCAATACTACAGCAATTGCTGAGGCCTGGGCTCGACTTGATCACAAATTCGACCTCATGTACGCCAAGAGATCTTTTGTTCACTGGTATGTCGGTGAAGGAATGGAGGAGGGAGAATTTGCTGAAGCTAGAGAAGATCTCGCAGCCTTGGAGAAGGACTACGAAGAAGTTGGTCACGACAGTATTGAAGCTGAAGGAGAAGATGACGAAGATTACTAAGTTGAAGAAAACGAACTTGATATTTCTTGACTGTTGACAAGTTAAAATGCTTATCTCAATAAAGAAATAATCATTTGTACATGTACATTTATACATCCGAGGCAGAGCTACGTTTGTTAGTTTGTCTTTTAGATCGATAGGGGTGTGCGATAGACTTACCTCTACGTGGTGCACCCTGGGTGCACCTTCAGTACAATTTTATTCCACTTTTCATGCGTAAGAGACGTAATTATTGTTAAAAAACAATGATTTAAGGTTTGAAACCATTGAGATCATCTTCTCTTAGTTTCAGGTGGCTCCTTCTTTATCAATCGATTCCAATGAAATTTCATAAATTTCTACGCAGATTAGCTATTTTTGTCCTTAGGATGTTCTTAAACATAGTAAATATTTGAGCTCAATTACATAGATTGCCAAAATCTGTCAAATGTCTCAAAAAGTAAGTTAAAACAAGGAGTAATCGTTTTATTTTAAAGAAGCTAAATCCCTCCAGAATTCAATAATATTGATTCCGGAATGGCGCAAAGTCCTCCACTCTCAGTAATTGATTTGTAGCCCGAATGAAATTGAATGAGCATTAGTACGCATTTCCAACCATGAATTAAATTCTAGTAAAGTTTGAAAAATCCAGTTCAACCCAGGACAATTGGAGCGTCTAGAAGCGCCCAAGGAGGCAATTCGAGTTTTATTATTGCTGTACCCTTACGCCCTGATTAAAGACAATTAGAAATTGTCACCATGAGCGCTCTTTCGTTTTCAATTATTTTTTGCAGAACTGTAATTTAACAAATTTTCCTTGGTATTATCCACCTTTCACTCCCTTCCACAGTTTTAAAATATTACTTCAAATAATTTTATCATTTTACAAATTACCTTTTTACTTTCTTCTATTCAAATTGCAACAACTGAAAGTGAAAACTCCGATTGGAAATTTACTCAAATGAAAATTCGTTTTTTTACCCTTTCATTACTTACGGATTTGTTGTTAAGTTCAGCGGTTAGCAAACAAAGATATTTTGCTAACACAATTCAGTGGTCAAAATCAATAAATGCAAACTGATGTGTATGTATATTGATAAAATTCCACCTATCACTCGAAATGCAAGGGCTGAAACAAGTATTAGTAATCAAATAAGTCAGCACGATTACCAAATCGTCTATTGGTGGAATGATATTAGCCAATCAGCTCGAGGAAGCAGGTCAGTGCTCTGTAAAAGTGCCGACAACTCGAGGTAGGCATCACATATATCACTTCAATTTTTCGCGTCACCATATATACCAAAATGGAATTGCGTCCCTGTTGGATAGTACTATTTGCCTTGGGTGTTTTGGCCTGTGGAGCTCAAGCAAAAACTTGTGGTATGTTATGGTAGGACTAACTAACTATGATCAAGCAAAGCGATTAGATATTCCCTAACAAGTATGCAAAGTTCATTTTGCAGAATGAGTAGATTTTAGAGCATTTGATTATTGCCACTTATTTAAAAAATTCAAATTATTTGCTACTATGACATATCCTTTTGCATATTGGCAAATTGATTGATTGATTGAATAAACCAATCTGATTAAACTTGACTCAGAGAGTAACTTCAATAAAAGTGTGAATGTGGTGCTATCTAAAATGAAATTGTAAGTAGAATGGGGATGGATAGGAAAGAAGCTTTGGGGGAGGAAGTACCTTAATTAGTTTGAGATCTAGGAAAGCTGGGCTAACATTTTACTCTTTTGTAGCTTTATATTTTCATGTTTTTTAGTACCATCTTCTAGTGTCTTGTAGCAGCACTATTTATTATTGAAGAATCACTATTATGCATTAAATAATTTTCATTGTGGCCCATAGTATATTTACTAAATTAAACAAAACGGTTCCAAAAATTTCGTACTCAAACTTGAAAACGGCAATTACTGCTTATACCTTACGCTTAAATGAGATAAAGGAGTTTGAAATGCTCTAAAATTCATATTTATGGCAAAATTTTGTTGAAAAACAAAACTTATTCTCAAATATATTCTCAATTTTCTTATGCTAAATAGCCTTCAAGGACAGGTTGATGAGAAGCAGTTGATTATTGCCAATTATTTAGTTTCTAGCATAATTGCGCTAATCTAATCATGCTACCCTGCATTATGCATTTAGATATTTTTAATAATACAAACAAATAGCGCCTCTCTAGTAGTACTTATTTCATTGAATGCACTTTACAGACTATATTTCCGGACAGCTTGGAAACCATCCATAAGAGTAAGCCCTCTAATTAGTTTTCTTTTATGCAATGGACTACACTTTTAGCAATAATTGGACTGCGTCTATTTGGCTTTTATTATGCGTGATACTTTCGAAACTGGTTATTAGAGTTAGTTAAATCCGAACGGAAACAATCTAACTGATGGGAAAGTTTAACATAAGTTTAAAGAAAAAGTACAGTACGATGTTTACTCCACATTAGTACATTATACTAGTAAATGTAATCTCCGACAACCTATTGCCCTTGAAGTTGGGCTTGAATTAAAGTACGCGTTCAAGTGGGTTCCATTTCAGTCGAAAATTCAAATCGATATTCTCCTTCACTTCGCTCCATGCACCTGAAAACGTGATGATCGAGGGGATAGGGCGAGGTCAGACGAACACGAAGGATGTTGTGGCGCCTTCCAATTTAATTCCTTAATTATTTGGAATGTCATTCTTGCCTTGTTGGGTCAGGTAGGGTGGTGGGGGGGGGGGGGGGGGGGGGTGGTAGACATTGTCATGACAAAAAACTTGGACGTTTATCTTTAAATTCCTGATTTAGTTATCCCAAGCGCCTAACAACAAGATACCTTGGTCTGTGGGTGTTTGATTACGAGTCAAACACTTCCCGTCTCCACTAAGAATGGTATCCATGTTGTCAAGTTAGTGAAAAAAATGCCTATGTTTCTCCTCTCACCTTTGTCATTTATTGATGATATTTCTATCTAAAAGTAAATTCTGTCAATGAACTAGCAGAAGGGAAATAGATATATAAAATTCACCTTAAAATAATGAAATACTAATGAAATTTCATTTAAAGAAATGCTTTTCTACCCTGTTTTTTTAGGAACAAAGCGTTGTGAAGATAAATCTGGGTTCTTCTGGGATGTCAGCTGCTGTAAAAAGCCTGACAAAACCTGCTGCTATAAGCGAAGGTGAGACACCAAGCAACAAAATAATTCAATTTATATATTTTTCTTTAATGAATAATTTATCTCAAATTTCAACTAGACCCTTTGGTATAGACAAAACTCTATTTTGTCAATGACATATGCGATACCTTTTGTAGTTGCTAGTCAATGACACTGCTTTGATTCAGTTTGAGGTTAACTTTTGATTAATTGGCAAATTATTAAATTTTTAAGTGAAGTCTGCCTGAATTTCTTCCTGATTTACGGTGTTTGTTAAACAGGTTAATGTGATTTGCATATTAATGTGTGTGATATATTTAAGCAAATTTTAACTAAGTTAGCAAATCTTCACAGAGCGGTTTTCCTATTCGTTGAAAATATTGAAGAAGGCTAACTTTCATCCTGTTTACCCAAGTGTAACTTGCCAAATTTACAAATTCGATTTCCAGTAGGCATTTCAATACGCACATAAAAAGTGACTGAAGATACATACACACTGCATGTAAATGGCTCAAAAAATTAAGCTGTAACATTTTAGTACTCTCTATAGAAGTTAGCTTTGCATTTTAAGAGAGTGAATAAAATAGAAAAAGGTAAAAATCGATGGCAGAAATAATTAGAATTTCGTCACCAAAAGTCGCCGAGTGTGATTTTAGATAGTGAAGAAAATACTGCATAGAGTTTCTACTTCAATTATAAGTGCTTTGCCCCTAAAGCTATCCATAGATCGATTCACAGATGTAAAGGAGCCAGACAGACAGACACAAACTCAGAGAAAAGGCTAGATGAGTGCTGTGGAAGGAGTCTTGGTAGTTTGAAGTCAGAAGTCAACTGCCGGTTGATAGACCTTTTTTGCCGTATGATTATACGTTGCCAAGACTGCACACGTGGAGATAAGTCTATCGCACACCCCTTAATTATAATGTTGCATAAGCTTTGACAACTAACCTGAAGATGTTCTGACGAGAAACTCAGATTTTGGGTTTACGAATACCGACCTCGTTACTTTAAAGTTGGCAGATGAATTGGATCTGCATAGTACAAATTTGGCAAAACTTTTTTTGGTCATTTTAAAGTCCCAATGAAACGATACGCTATTTATTATTCAATGAACGAGTTATGTACCTCTTGTAGGTGGTGGCCTTTAATTACCACAGTATGCTGTGTTGTTGCACTCATCATCATCTTCTGCTGTATCTGCTACTGCTGTCCTTGTTGTCAATGTCTGGCAAGTTGTGGAAAGAATTTGTGCAAATGCTGCTCCAAATGTTGTAGAGACGATTCTCCAGAGCATAGACCCCTTAATACTTGACATGAATTGTGTTGGTGATATTGTTAAAACGCCTATTTGTTTTTAAATGTTCGTGTTTGACCCGCTGTGCCTAGATATTATCCATAAAATATGAATAAAAAATTACTGACTCTGTTCATTCAGTACACGAATTTTAAAAAAAATTTTGGGTGTCTTATACTCACACTTAGTTCCATGTTGTACAACGGGGATTTTAAATCACTTTTTTAGCAATATTAGGAGCAAAATTTCAAGCTTTGAACGAATGTAATCTGATTTAACTTTATTACTCACTTGTTTTATCTTGAAAATTTCTTTATATATTTATTTTACTTTGTAGCGGATTGCTACGCTAGTAAAACCTGACTAACTCAGAAATCTCTATGACAGACCCCCCAACATCTAGCTAGACTCCCAGAACTAGCTAAGCTATAGCCCAGCTATAAAGGAAACAGACGTGTAGCACGAAATGCGTTTATTCGGTACGTATATTGCATATAAAGGAAACAGATGTTTAGCACGGAGCACGTTTATTCTACAGAGGATACAGACGTGTAGCACGGAACATTTA